TTTTTTTTTTTTTTTTTTAATTTTCCCAAAGAACTAGGAGGCGTGAGCACTCGAGAGTCAAATTTGCCCAGGACCCGCGTCCCCTAAGAAAGCAGGGCTCATTCGCCTTCCACAAACTCCGCAGCGGCAACAAAAGTCCCTTTCAAGCCCTTCCAGACGCAAGTCCTTCAGCTCAATTAGTCAGGCACACAGAGACACAAAAAAGCCTCCCATTCAGGCTAGTGGCTGGCTGTGGAGGACAAGGGCGAAGAAAGGATCTTTCTCCCACGCTTTCACTGGGTGTCATAACAAGCAGAAAGCCCTCTTACGGGGGGATTATTGGAGATAAGAGTCCGATGGAGGAGCCGGTGCAGGAGCTGGGGCTGCAGGAGTAAGGGAGGAGGGGATGGGGATGAGGGGTTTGGAGGTTGCAGCTTCCAAGGTCGGGTGAGCGCGGCGGCTGCCGACATCGCGCTCCATCGCAAATGTGTGGTTTGTTGGGTTTTTTTTTTTAAAAAAAAAAAAAAATTACGATATTCACCCCCGCCCTGGTACACACACACACACACACGCGCAGAATAATCCCGGTTCTCCATGGCAACCTGCTCCGTGGCCATCCCTCGCACCGGAGGAGGGAGGCAGCTTCGCCTTCGCCCCGGCCTCGTCGCCGGTTTGTCCTGGTGCTGGCAAAAGCCTGGGCCGAGACGGGCAGCGGGGCCAGGCAGCACGGGCAGGGCTCCTCTTGCTCCCTGCTTCTCCAAAAAGAAGCCGTTATCTCCAGCAAAGAGTGACAAGGAGGTGCACAGCTCTGTGGCAACGCTCTCCCTCCAGAAACCCACCCAGCCCTGCTGATGCTCCTGGAGATGGGTGGGTTTAAGATTAAGCAGAACTTTTTTTTTTTCCATTTGAAAAAAAACAAAAGAGGGGGGAAAAAAAAAAAAGGTGGAGGGGCGTGGTGGGTTTTGCTGTTCAAAGCCAAAACAAAGGGGAGGAAGAGAGAAAATCCTCCAGAGAATAGAGTTTGTCTGCAAAATCATGAGGCGGGTTGGTGGCCCGGGGCCACTGTCCTCTGTGGTACATGGCCAGCCCAGCGAAGCCTCCCGAGCCCTCAAACCTCCCCATGGCCAGAGGGGTCAAACCCTGCAGCTCCCGGGAGCACACGGAACAATCCTCTGGGCACCATCAGCCCCTTGCAGGATTAATCAAAGTTCCTGAGTGAATTACGTGCCTAATTCCCTTGAACAATCCAAGGGATAGTCCCAATTCCTCACGGTTTTCCCACTGACTCCACATGCGGCTGCGGAGGCCGGGGCACTTCCAGCTCTTTTCAAAGACATGATTCCTCTCCCAAAACAGGGGGCACAGAGGCAAATTCAAAGCAAATGCTAGAAAAAAATTATATTTTTTTTTCCCCCTCCTGCTCAGCCCTGAGCCCCTGCAGATCGCCGCTGCGGGATGCCCCCGCACCCAGCCCCATCGAGGAGCGGATGGCAAGAACATCCAAGTTTAGAGACGTTTTACAAGGATCGGGGAAGGGATATAAACTCTCCAGCTTGGGGACAGAAAGCCGAGAAACTCTCTCGGAATACATTATCCTATAATTGTAGGGTTTCAAGCACTTTCCTCCCAAGCAGCTGGTGCCTGCTGATGCCAGAGAAAGGTTACTTGGCCCAGATGCATTCCTGCCTGGTCTAAAACCATCCACTCTGATGAAATATCATAAAAAAATATTTCACTTTTATCTAAAATAGTAGATATTTACTAAAATCCGGAGGGGGGGGAACAGATGAAACAAAGCAGGCTCCTCAGGGAGCTCTCTTCCTCCTTTCCAAAGAGTACCCAGTGCCTCCCAAAGGGTGACGAGGATCTGGGGGACCCCCTTTCCCCTCCCCATAGCTCACACACTGATCCAGAAGCAATTTTTAATTTTTTTTCCACTAAATGGGTGAGTTTTGAGCTTCCAGCAGGCAGAAACCTGCTGAAGGTCAAATTAAACCTGGTTTAACTGCGTTGACCTGAGCAGCACAAGGCCACAGGATGAGCCAGCATCCCCCCAGAGTCACACGCAGGGCTCAGGGCCAAGTCACCCCACCACCCCGATGAATACCCAGTCTTCTGCATTCCCAACGCTTATTAATCAGCCTTTTTTCTTCCTCCGAGAGCCTGTGTTTTCTCCCTGTCCCAGAGCAAGCTCCATCTCGTGCCCTCCACCTGCCTGAAAAAATTCATCGCACAAGACCAAACTTAAACCCAGCAGATCCACCCGCTGTGGATTCCTCCTCCTCTTGCACCAGCATCATGGCACTACCCCCTTTGTCCCTGCTCTGGCAATACTAAAAAAAAAACCCTGAAAGTGGAATTAAAATGATTTTTACACCTAGCCTGGGCTGTCAAAGCTGAAGCTCAGGCCACGGCCGTCATGGCTGGGTGAGGATTACACAGCTTAGCTTTACAGTTACAGATGCCAGGTCCAAGGCTGGTCTCAGCTGTAGCAGGATAAATCCCGGAGTTATACGGCAGCACGAGACTGTGATCCACTGATAACCAGAGATGGGTTCAGCCAGGAGCACTGATCCAAGACGTCCCCGTTAGCCTCACAGACTTCAGTCCATCAGAACACTCCCCCAGCCCCAGATTTCAGGGGGTCCTTCACCCCGACTGGCACAGGGCTCCTGAACCAAGACTTTCCAGCTTTTTTTTTTTTTTTTTTTTTTC